ATTCGACCTCATCTCACATAAAAACCATCATCTCAAAAATCAAAAGCAGACATAAATTAGAAACGAATTGAAAAAATCAAATCCAAATTTCTAGAACTGAAACAAATAAATAGAATCAACGTGGTAGAACCCCGAAAGGGGCTAATAATCAGGTCCAAATATTTAACAAGTTTGGATCACTCGAAGACATGGATATGTCCGACCACAACCATGGTAGGACACATAGCTTGTCGCCCTCGAGGAAGGTAAGTGGTCCATCTCCTGTTAATCCCCAGAAGTGGTAGCATCTTCACCTCTAATACAATGGACTGGCTGACTGAGTTTAGTTTTACGCCGCTTTTAGCAATATTCCAGCAATATCACGGCAGGGGACACCAGAATATAATGGAACTGAGGACTCAGGACAAATTTGAATGATTTACATCTTTTAGTCCAAGATTTTAAACCGTCGGTATTCTGCTTACAAGAGACATATGTAAAGCAGACTGATCATTTTTAATTTTGTCAATATAATGCATACTATTGTTTTTTTTCCTCCAAGCGATAAAGCCTCTGGAGGATGTTCAATCCTTGTTCGGAATGATGTAATCCACAGCCCTGTTATACTTCAAAGAACTCTCCAGGCCGTTGCAGTAAGACTTGCGTTGCATGTTGCAGTTACTCTGTGCTCTTTGTACACTCCGCCTTCATCATCTGTTCAGCATGATGAACTCCCTAAACCTTGTATAATCATGGGTGATTTAAATGGGCACAGTCCACTGTGGGGTAGTACTAATACAAACGCCAAAGGTAAATTGCTGGAGGATTTCATTTCAAATAATGATCTATGCATTTATAGCGACGGTTCAAATACGTATTTACATCCTGGCACAGGAACCTATTCAGCTCTTGATTCGTCTATTACTGACTCTAACCTGTTGAGTGAATTTGAATGGTCAGTCCACGAGATATACGATATGCGGAAGAAAAATGATCTAATGCAAAAGAAGTGGGACACCCAAGTAGGTATCAACAAATTACATGCAATTAAACCAACTATAATTTACATAGATTTATGGTGGTTGAAAAACTTGTTTTAGTCACGATATGGCTGAAATAATGTCGATGTGACTATAAATCTTAACTCACTCATTCTATTGAGTCGGAAATCCGGTTTCCGGATAAAAATAGTGAACCTCATTCGTCCGAAGGACACGCTGTTGTGAACCAGACAACCACCATGGCGCACGATGTTTGATCTACCGACATCATGCTGGTGGTGATCTTTTAATTACTTTGCAATTCATCACTTGACATCCGACACCATGTTGGTGATGATGTTTTATCTACACTACAGTTCATCACTTGGCATCAAACATCATGTTGGTGATGATGTTTTATCTACTCTACAGTTCATCACTTGGCATCCGACACCATGCTGGTGATGATCTTTTATCTACTCTACAGTTCTTCACTTGGCATCCAACATCATGTTGGTGATGATGTTTTATCTACTCTACAGTTCATCACTTGACATCCGACAACATGCTGGTGATGATGTTTTATCTGCACTACAGTTCATCACTTGGCATCCAGCATCATGCTGGCGATGATGTTTTTTCTACTCTACAGTTCATCACTTGGCATCAAACATCATGCTGGTGATGATGTTTTATCTACTCTACAGTTCATCACTTGACAACTTACATCATGCTGGTGATGATGTTTTGTCTACTCTACAGTTCATCACTTGGCATCCAGCATCATGCTGGCGATGATGTTTTTTCTACTCTACAGTTCATCACTTGGCATCTAACACTATGCTGGTGATGATGTTTTATCTACTCTACAGTTCATTACTTGGCATCTAACATCATGTTGGTGATGATCTTTTATCTACTCTACAGTTCATCACTTGGCATCCAACACTATGCTGGTGATGATCTTTTATCTACTCTACAGTTCTTCACTTGGCATCCAACATCATGTTGGTGATGATGTTTTATCTACTCTACATTGGCATCCAACATCATGTTGGTGATGATGTTTTATCTACTCTACAGTTCATCACTTGACATCCGACAACATGTTGGTGATGATGTTTTATCTCGATACAGTTCATCACTTGGCATCCAACATCATGCTTGTGATGATGTTTTATCTACTCTACAGTTCATCACTTGACAACTTACATCATGCTGGTGATGATGTTTTATCTACTCTACAGTTCACTCTACAGTTCATCACTTGTTTTGTCATACAGTTCATCACTTGGCAACAACTATGCTGGTGATGATGTTTTACCTACTCTGCAGTCCATTACTTGGCATCCGACATCATGCTGGATATTATATTTCCTTCGGTTGAAGGATGAATAAGAAGGAAATTGCTTTCTCCAGGGTATGTAACTCTGGACAGGGTAGGTGTGGATGTTGATAGGTGGCGTTGCTATAAGGGTATATAAAGGTAGTGTAAGCCGTGTACGTCATTCTCGCATCACGTGCAGCTACGGTCTGTTGATTTATTTTCAAACCTTACAATGGAGGCTAAGATTGACGCCATTTTGAAGAACTTGGAGACAAGTCAGCGAGAGCTTCATGATGCTCTGGATACTAAGATATCGGCCCTCAGAGAAGAGTTCAGTCAAACCACAACTGACGTTAAGAAGCTTAAGGCGGACAAGGACTATATTTGGTCGAAGGAGGGTAATAAGATTCAGTACAATTTTAATCAAGAGACTATTCAGTGCTTAAATCATGTAATTTCATCTATTCACAACGAGATGCTTGAACAGGCAGAGTCCATGATCGTATCAGAATGTGAACGACTGAAACTGAGGAACAAGCACATCAGGATCGCGGACTCCTCTGAAGGCGGTTGGGAGACGGTGAGACAATATGTTTCTAATGAACTCGCTGACAATTCTGACGATGATCGGGCTATTTTCCGTGCTAACAGCAGAGCTGTCAGGAAATTGCGACAAAAGCGGGGAAGATACGCGCCGTATGCAAGTAGAGCTGCTCGTAGGAGTTCTACAGTTAGTCGTCCCGTGCAGCAAGCGGCCAGCGTTTCTAACGGCCCTCAGCATATCCAGTCCGTTAACCAGCCCTTTCGTACCAGAGGTCAGCGTTCAGGAGCATGTTTCGCCTGTGGCGAGTTTACCCACTTCCGAAGAGACTGCCCCTATACCAGTGGCGGAAGTCAGGGAACGTCAATCGGAGTTAGTGCAGGCCAGTCGGGCCAGTGAGCAGAGGCAGGATTTGTCAGTTAAGTATACTTTTCAAGAATGTTTAAATGCTGTCGAGAATATTTATACTGAAAGCCTTACTGAAAACTATTCTGAATATGAACAGGGAATGTCGGAGATTTTGGTCAAGGGTCGGCTTAAACGCTGTTTACCATTTTGGATATCTATGGGTGCATCACAATTTGTAATCGATATTATTGAAAATGGATATAAAATTCCTTTTTTAACCAGACCTCCTGATATGTTTTCCAGAAACAACCAGTCGGCAATACAACATGCAAGTTTTGTGACAAAAGCTATTGATGAGCTGAAGAAGAAAAAATTGATTTGTAAATGTGATACGCCCCCTGTTGTCGTCAACCCGCTCTCTGTATCAGTGCAGTCCTCAGGCAAAAAAACGGTTGATTCTTGATTTGTCGAAAGTGAATAACTATGTTTCAAAATCTAGTGTGAAATATGAGGACTGGAAAACGGCTTTAGTTTATATACGTCAGAATGACTATTTGGTTAAATTTGATATACATTCGGCATATCACCATGTTGACATTTTTCCATCTCATACAGGTTTCCTTGGTTTTGGTTGGCCAGATAGTACTGGAATGATACATTTCTACAAATTTTGGTTTTGCCATTTGGCTTGACTTCGGCACCGTATGTATTTACTAAGATTACTAGACAGCTTGTAAGGAAATGGCGGGCAGAAGGTTACAGGATTGTTACTTTTTTGGACGATGGTATTTTATCAGGAGATTCGAATCTGCATACACTTGCCATAGGTTCTGCTGTCAAAGATGACATTCTTGCTTCGGGTTTTGTACCAAAAGTAGAGAAGTCCTTGTGGTCTCCCTCACAATCTTTGGAGTGGTTAGGTTTTAGCATTGACACTACAACAATGTCATTGAGTGTGCCTAACAGGAAAATTGACAAGCTTCTCAGTACGATACGTCATGTACAGAGTCTTAGTTGGAATCCGGTGCCAGTGAAGAGTGTAGCCTCTGTTGTAGGGCAGATCATTTCTATGAAATTGGTGGTTGGTGGCCTTGCTCAATTAATGACTAGATCTTTGAGTATGGATATTATTACTGCTAGGTCTTGGAGCAGTAAAATAAGACTTACTGACAGTAGTAAGCACCAGTTACAGTTTTGGCTAGATAACACTGGGCGTTACGTGTCAAGACGTTTGATTCAATCAGCAGGTATGAGGAAGCTGTTGTATTCAGATGCGAGTGACACTGGGTATGGTGGTTATTGTGTGGATGTGAACAAGGTGGTGTCACATGGTCAGTGGTCTGATGAAGAGCGTGGTAATAGTTCCACTTGGCGTGAGCTTCAAGCAGTGAATATGGTTTTGAAGAGCTTAGCACCAGGTTTGAGACATGAAAGGGTCAAGTGGTTTACTGATAATCAAAATGTAGTTAACATCGTTGAAAAAAGGTAGCATGAAAACACACCTGCAATCTATTGCGTTACAAGTATTCAATATTTGTTTTGAGTACAATATAGATTTGCAAATCCAGTGGATCCCTCGCAATGAAAATGAAGAAGCTGATTTTCTCAGTCGATTAGTGGACCATGACGATTGGGGGATTAGTAAAGGTGTGTTTCAGAGTGTTGACAAGAAATGGGGACCACATCAGGTTGATCGATGTGCTTCATACTACAATGCTAAGCTGACAACTTTTAACTCCCGCTATAGCAACCCAGGGTGTTCGGCTGTAGATTGTTTCACAGTGAGCTGGAGAGGAGTCATGAACTGGGTTGTCCCCCCCCTGTGTGTTTGATACCCAGAGTTATTGGACACATGTCTGAATGTCACGCTGTAGGCACGCTTGTTGTTCCAGAGTGGAAGTCGTCTGCTTTTTGGCCAATATTGTGCTCACAGTCTCGGTACATATCACAAGTGAAAGATTGCATATATCTGCCAAGATCAAAAGAAGCATATGTTGCTAGTAGAATAAGAGGAGGTCTGTTTGGTGAACATGATTTGCATTTCAACATGCTAGCATTGTTGCTTGATTTTCGTTAATGTTGATGTACCTGTTACAGGTGTGTTTCACGACGTTTATCAAGATGAGATTGGTTGTCTCCCTTCCCATGTTCGGGATCTCGCATATGAACTGCCTGATTTAATATCTCATGCAAGAGCTGAGTCCACAACAAAGAAGTATAGTATGGGTTATGCAGCATGGAAAAGGTGGGCGAAGAGTAATAACATGTCTGATGCGCTCCCTATATCTCCTTTGCATTGTGCAATTTATTTATTGTCTATTGTGCAAGAAAGTGATTCAGTATCGCCTGTTTTAAATGCTTATTATGGGTTGAGACATGCTCATTGCAGTGTTGGCTTGGTTAGTCCTACAGAGAATGGCTTAGTTAAAAATGTTGTAGAAGCTGCAAAGAGAAAATTGGCTCGAAAAGTAGATAAGAAAGAACCAGTTACAGTGTCTGTTTTAGAGCAGTTGTATGATGTAAAGGGTCATAGTGATTCTCTAATGGATTTGAGAATATTAGCTATTTGTTTGCTTGGGTATGCGGGATTTCTTAGATCTGCTGAGTTATTGAATATCACTCGAGCTGATATTGTATTTTGCCAGTCTCACATGATGCTGTTTATTGAGAAATCTAAAACAGATATCTACAGGGATGGTGCCTGGCTGGTTATTGGTCGGACAGGTACAAAGTTGTGTCCTGTAAGTTGTCTAGAAAGGTATTTGGTTCAAGCCAATATTGATCCATATTCTGACTGTTTTGTCTTCAGAAATTTATCTAAATGTGCCAGTGGCTATAGACTAAGGAAGGTTAATACGCCTATGTCATATAGTAGGCTGAGGGAAATATTTTTAGAAGCTTTCAGTCCTTTTGTTGATAACATTAAGAAATATGGACTGCACAGCCTGCGTAGTGGTGGAGCTACTGCAGCAGCTAACAATGGAATTCCAGATCGGATGTTTAAGAGACATGGACGCTGGCGAAGTGAGAAAGCTAAAGATGGATACATCAAGGATAGTTTAGAAAACAGGCTAAAGGTTTCCCTCTCTCTCGGGCTCTGACTTTCTTTGTTTCTCTCGGCCGTGTAGCGCACAGCGAGCCCTGTGTTGATACAATGTGTTGTGTCGTTTGTTAGAGTGGAATGTTGGGGGCTGGAGAAATTATATTTCCTTCGGTTGAAGGATGAATAAGAAGGAAATTGCTTTCTCCAGGGTATGTAACTCTGGACAGGGTAGGTGTGGATGTTGATAGGTGGCGTTGCTATAAGGGTATATAAAGGTAGTGTAAGCCGTGTACGTCATTCTCGCATCACGTGCAGCTACGGTCTGTTGATTTATTTATTGTTTTAACTTACAACTTTTATAAATCTGTAACATTTATATATATATGTATGAATGATATAATTTCCTGTGTTTCAGGGGTATGTTTCCTGCTGGCTGAAGAGCCATGAGAATACTTGGGTTCTCTACATTGTAAATAAGTGTGAATAGAATCTTGACAAGAATTATACAGACGGTGGTTTGTATTGGTGCTGAAGAGCCGTTATAATACTGCATGCATGCAATTTATGTGTTTGTGCCTGCTAAGAGCTGAAGAGCTGTTATGATATCTTAAGATTGAATGAAATAAATGTGGAATTTTGGTTGAGGAGCCATTATAATACCGTGTTGATAATGAATGGATGTTATGTCCTAGTTGGAGATAAGAGCCGTTCTATCATGTGTTTTCAGCGCTGAAAAGCCGCTGTGATACTGTGTTCAGATTGAATTAACTCGGTTGTATTCCGGGCTGAAGAGCCGTTATAATACTATGTTGGGATTGAACGACTTGTGTAATATGGGCTGAAGAGCCGTTATAATACTGTTATAATAACGATGGATTGAGGTTGAGATTGTATTTAATGTACATATTTGTGCTTTACACAGTTACTGTAAACCCTCCAGTCATGTGCTGCTGCATCGTTGAGGGAACACGGTTCCAGAGTTTTTCTTTAAAAGTTTATCTCTGGTTTTACGTGTCGGGCTTCGGCATGGTGTATCTGTAACTTGTCATGCGTGGTATATGCGTGGTGTAAATAAGTATCTTACAGGTAAACTACAATGGGATGATGATGATGACTATGATGATGGTGGTTAATGTAATAAATCTCGGCCGTGTAGCGCACAGCGAGCCCTGTGTTGATACAATGTGTTGTGTCGTTTGTTAGAGTGGAGCGCTGCAAACAGCGAGCCCTGATTGTTGATACAATGTGTTGTGTCGTTTGTTAGAGTGGAATGTTGGGGCTGGAGAAGTTATACCGAGATGTTGAATAGGACGCGGTTTGCATTTCTTTATGATCTCTGATCGTTTGACTAAAATCAACAACGGCAGTTTCTATAACTTCTACAAATTTACGTACAATGACAAGAGAGAGTTGGAGAGTTGTTGACACTCGCGGTGCATTAAGTTAAAAATCTTCTTTCTATAAAATAAACGTTTTGTTTTCCAGAGAAGAATTTTCATTTAAATCAACAACACCAACTAATTTACATGAAACGCCTACATCTCCACAGCAGTATCGAAACGATCCCCAAAGTTGAATTTATTACATTAAAGTCGAGCTGCACACAGTAGAAACTGTTTTGTGAGAAAAGAAATACAGTGAACTCCCTCTAAACCGACATTGCTCGGGCCCTGTGAAAAATGTCGGTTTAGAGGGATGTCGGTTCGGAGGAATGTCGGTTTGGAGAGAGTTTTTAGAAACTCAATCCAAAATTAGTCCTGTAACAATTTCTGTTTCACTTCTACCAAAAATAGTCCGCTTGATTTAATTTGAGACCGATGAATTTTGTCACTAACACAAAATCTAATTATTGCAACAAAACCAGATTTGGCACAGTCATATGAAATCGTCAGACCAACTCATATGATTGGTCTCATAACTTTGGACACCCAAATAAAAAAGTTGTTTAAAGAACGATAATTGTGTTGTTGTCACTTTTCGCTATTATTTACGAGGGAGGACCACTTCCTGGTAGAACAGCCGGATAATCAACAAGCGTATGTAGTGGGATTTCGCTCGTCACGCCGAAGGCCCGGGTTCGATTCCACACATGGGTACAATATGTGAAGCCAATTTCAGATGTCCCCTGCCGTGATATTGTTTAAACATTGCTAAAAGCGGCGTAAAACCCAACTCACTGACTCACATGTTATATCTGATCTGAAATAGGTATTGGGTGAATTTCATTAAACCTTAAGGTCGTCTAAGTGAGGTTAAACGATGAAGAACATTGATTCATTGCTGTCGTTTGTGATGCAGATGCTGTTCCCCCTGAAGCTGTGTGTTCCAGTCTTGGTGTTGGTGATGGTGGCAAGAGCACAGGTCGACAGTAAGAGAACCAAACACTGAATATCAGTTTAGGGTATAACATCCATTATATACTCTTCAGAAGAAAGTAAGGGAACCTGATATTTCAATTTGGATAGGAAGTATAAGTATGAACAAATGTTTCAAAGACAGACATCTTATAAAAAACACCACCATTTCTCCTTATCACCACCCCTAAATACAACTCATGGAATGCACGTGCACAACGCAGTAGCCCCATACACGTGCATGGGGTGTCATTCTTCATTTTGACGGTTTTCTAGAAGGTCGATAAATCACTGTAGACTATTAATTTTGACAATCATCCTGCATCACACAGTTGAAAGTGTTTGTTCCTAGCCGGGTTTTTTCGTTTGAAAATGAAAATCGTACGCATGCAAATTTCACGTCATACACCAACCATCTTCCAAGAACGATTACTGTACAAACAGCTATAGTCATAAAAAAGTGGTTATGCACTCTCAATTCATTCACTATTATCATGTCAACATTTCCAAATGTTTACAATCGTAAATTAAAAATGAAGTTCCCCTACGTTTTTTGAGAAAATGATATGCTATATTTTTGTCTCTCCTGACATCTATGGTTGACTGTCATATTGAGAGAAGGGAGCAACTTCTCAATCCTATTAAATACCGCAGTAAGCATGCGGTACAACACATGCTTTGCTTAAGGCCGGTCTGTATTGTTACCTTAAAATGAAGATATATTACAATCCTATTAAATACCGCAGTAAGTATGCGGTACCACAAGGCCGGTCTGTATTGTTACCTTAAAGTGAAGATATATTACAATCCTATTAAATACCGCAGTAAGTAGGCGGTACCACACATGCTTTGCTTAATGCCGGTCTGAATTGTTACCTTAAAGTGAAGATATATTACAATCCTATTAAATACCGCAGTAAGTAGGCGGTACCACACATGCTTTGCTTAATGCCGGTCTGAATTGTTACCTTAAAGTGAAGATATATTACAATCCTATTAAATACCGCAGTAAGTATGCGATACCACACATGCTTTGCTTAAGGCCGGTCTGTATTGTTACCTTAAAGTGAAGATATATTAGTATGCTTTTCATTTATGATAATAATCAGCTGTTGTTTTTTTCAGTTTGTGATAATGTACCAGTGCTTGCAGCCTCCCCAACGCCCCAGACACTCACATCTGTGAGCATAGAGACGGGATCTTTCAATTTAATATATTGTACAGTACAAATAACCGTACCAACTGGCTCCTCTTTGAAACTGAACTTTAACTCAATCGTTGATCCAATCCTTGATCCTATTGTTATCTACACACAAGGTAAGTTAAAACTATAGTCAAACTTGATTAATTTACCTAATTTTACTTAAGATGCCACTGCTTCAGTGTGCGTGGTGTATAGGGAAGGTTGTTTGCCTGAACAACGGTGTGTTTTTGTTGGGTTTGTGTGTGTGTGTGTGTGTGCGTGTGTGTTGTGTGGCCTGTGTGTGTTGTGTGTGTGTGTGTGAGTGTGAGATATGGCATGGCGTGTGTGCGTGCGTTGTGTTGTGCGTGTGTGTGTTGTGCGTGCGTGTGCGTGCGTGCGTGCGTGCGTGTGTGTGTGTGTGTGTGTGTGTGTGTGTGTGTGTGTGTGTGTGTGTGTGTGTGTGTGACAGTAACAAATTAAACCATTGTTTTGGTATTGTGAACATGTGCAAGCTTTTGGGAAATGTTTCCTAGAATTATTGAATGATAATGTCAACATCTTCACAACATGAAACTTGAACTACAACGCACTGTGTTTGAGATGAGAACAAATGTATGTACTGGTGATGTGTTTGATTTAATATTGTTGTTAGCTAAATTCTTCAAATATATATATGCAGGTCAAGACATTTATCATATATTTATCATTTATCATTTATATATATATATATTAGACATGACTTTTGCAAATTATAAATGACTTTCTGAATTCTTTCTTCTTGTTCCCTAATGAAGAAAAAAATATAGGCTGAATGAACTTGAACTTAAACAAACTTACTGTGAATATTTGAAACATGTAAGTGTGATTGGTGAGGGAATGTGTTGTGGGGTCTTGTGTTGTTGTTGTTGTTGTTGTTGTTGTTGTTGTTGTTTTGTGTTTTGTTAGAAAAGAATCCTGTTTTTCTGTTGTCAAACAAAGATTTCTTACAAAGGATTCTAGAGTCCCCTGGCTCTATTGCCTTTTACTGTAGCAGGGTAAACTGGAAATAGAAATTTTCAATTACCAAACAAAGAAACATTAATTATATAAAGAAGCCCCACTGAGATGGGAGGTATTGGTGATATCTAGACCTGCTTCTCTTAGGGCTTGAGCATCGCAAGGATGGCTAGGCAGTATTGGAAATAATGTGGTTCAGGGACTGTGAGGCAGATTCTCTTTGTGTGTATGTGTGTGGGGTGTGTATGTGTGTGGGGTGTGTATGTGTGTGTGGTGTATGGGGAGTGGGTGTATTAGGGCATGTGCACATTAAGGTAAGCATATATGTATGCGGTATATAAGAGTTTGTGTGTACAAATACTGTCATAGGCTGTCGTATTCTGTGGCAACTTCTTCTAACGTTTCTTCTTGTATAGATGGGACTTTGGTGGAAGTCAGCTTCAATGCATTTCTCGGCTATGGTCCACCTATCTACGTTTTTCCGGAATCAGTCTACATCTCCATTGAATATGACGTCACCCCCAGTTCCACATTTGTGATGACATATCAAGAGGTACCCTTCGAAGAAGACAGTAAGTTGCTGTCATATTGTTCTATATCTGGGGGACCGCCTCCGTGGTGTAGTGGTTAGGGCGTCCGCCCGGAGAGCGGAAGCTCACGGGTTCAATCCCCGACCGCGTCATACCAAAAAGACGTTAAAATATAGTACTTGTTGGACCCTGCCTGGCGCTCGGCATTCATGGGTACAACAAGGACTGGTCGGCTCGGAGTCAGTATAATGTGTCTGAGTGGGGTATTCATGTTTCACTGCCGCATGGTATCTCAGTGGGCTAACACTATAAACCAGCTTCAGTCTGGGCTAGTACAAGCAGCCGCACATACACATACACACGCATGCACGTCGTCATATGAGCGAAATATTCTCAAGCACGACGTTAAACCCAATTTCACCACCACCACTATATCTGGGGTTCCCATGGTCCGAAGCATGGTGATCAACCTTCACTTGCTAGTGATCTATAGCCCGTTTTTATATTGTTCTGTTGTCTATAGTGATATTTTTTTTATGATAGCCTGTTAGCTTTAAGTTAAAAGCTGTGATATTATAGTAGTTTTACTGTCGTTCGATGACTGTTTTTTACGTTCTAAATATCTGTATATGTTTTAATACTAATATGTAAATTGTTCGCGTCACGATGTGGCTGTAATATTGTGGATGTGACTGTAAAAAATACCTCACTCACTCTGTATCTGGGCATTTGAGGGGAAGGGGTGGGGGAGAGGGCTGTATAATGTGCTTAAATTCTGTCCCCTCAAGTTGCAGGACATGTCGGTGGTCACTTCAACCAATGCCATTATTATGATCTTGAATTGTCATCTATCATCAAAATAGTGCTGCTTGTTTTCACCATAGCGTCCAGTTTGTGTAGGGGCGGTTAGGGTAGCCTAGTTGTTAAAGTGTTGGCTCGTCACGCCAAAGGTCCGGGTTCAGTTCCCCACATGGATACAAGGTGGTTTCTGGTGTGATTGTGCTGGAATATTGCTAAATGCGGCGTAAAACCATACTCACTCGCTCACTCGTTGGCTTTGATATCATGTCTGAGGTCTGAGGGTCGCTATTCCATTGAAATTTATAATTTCTTTGAG